CCTCCCACCCCCAAGTCTGCTCCAGGAGAGCACTGCTAACTCCCTTGTTGATAGACGTGTTAAATGCCGTGGCCAGGAGAAGTGTCATTCATTTGGCTGATATAAAGATTCTAACACTCACTGAAAATAAAATTTCATGAAGATTCGGGCACCTTTAGAGAAAAAAAATCCAGGACAAGCCATTCATCTGCTTTTAAAAAAAATTAAGAATGGCCAAGATAAAACTTTATTCAAGAACATAACATGCTAGAGAGACACTTCAGTTCTGTATTATGACCAAGCTGGTGGCCCTGACAGTTCTGCCCTGTGCATTTCTTGTTTTGTATTCCTTTCCCCAGACACACTCTGGGTTTTTTGATTGTCCAGAACGTTGATAATAAATGTAATTGTTTTTTTTCTGTTCCCCCTGTCTCTCAAGTCACCGTTTCTACCTTCATCTCTTCCTCTTCAGTTTCCCCAGTTTTAAATACTCCCCTCCCCTGAAGCTTTCACTGGCTCACCCCAGGGAAAAGTGGACAAAGCGCATTCTACTTCATATCATTAAACAGTTGCTGGCCCCTCATCCCCCACACCAGGCGGCAGAGCCCAGTGTCACCCCAGGGCCATCAAAGTAAGGATGGAACTTTCTCTGACTTCCAGCAAAAATCTGTGGATCGCAGGGCATCCGCCACCCTCTGGCTGCCAGGCAGTGCCTCCTGCTAGATTTGGCTGAGCAAGGGGACCTTTTGCCAAGGCCTGCACCACCCTGAAATTAATATTTCAGCTGTTTGCATACTAGTTCCACCTGCTCCCATCACCATGACAACCTACTCCCCAAAAGGAGCAAGAGGAGAGATAATGGACTTCTGAGCCTTTATTCTGCATGGGATAGGGAAGGAGGAGCTTCATGCTTCAACACCCTGATTCTTACAGCACCCCCAGTTTGCCTTAGCCAGTCTCCTCAGCAGCTCCATTCCATGTACCCCAAGTCGCCCATTGCCCCATTTTCTTCCCTGAATGGTGCTGTAGCTTAAGATCTCTAGGACCAGAGTCTAGTTCAGTCCTTTCCCAGCTGGGTAACACCAGGCAAATGCCTTTGCCTCTCTGGGCTTCATCTTTCTCATCTGTAAAATGGACCTGATTCTAATACCTCCTCAGATGGTGGTTGTTTTGGGGACTAAATGAGTTAACACGTGCAGGTCGTCAGGACAGTGGGGGCACAAAGAAACAGGGCCATCCTCTGGATCTAGAGACCTGAGCATGCCTTGGGCAAGCTGTCCACAGCCCTTGGCAGAAGGATGCTGAAGTGATTAGCTGGCAAAGGGATGCGGTGCAGGACAGGCATTATGCAATCAGCTGCCTCTTCCGGGCAGAGGATGGCAGATCCCCAAGAGAGAAGGGGGAAGGGACCTGACTTCAAAGTTTTCTGCCCCGTTTGAGTTCTCCTTGGAGATACTTGGAAATGAAACTTCCTTGAGATTGATGTTGGGCCTTTGCAGGCTGCGCTTGTTTAAACTTCACGACAAAAAGAGCCAAGAGAGAAACAAAAACAAGACAAAGCAAAGACCCACCGGTCACCTTTCCAACAGAACAAAGGGCTCTTGGTCCTGTGGGCAAGGCTGTGCCTCTAACAGAACGTACCCCATAGTCTCAAATGCCGTTAGTTAGAACATCCTTTCTAGATGGTGGCCAAAGGATTTGGATTCTCCTTAAAGTGGTAACTTCACTGAGCCTGCTTTTCGGTAGGGCTGTCTCCCTGCTTCAAACTATATATAAACACCATGAGAAAATATCCCCAGCCAGCTTTTCATCTGATGTAAAACTTCTAAAAGAAAGTACCAGGATTGGGTTAGCATTAGGAATTTCTTTGTGGGCTGTGGAAGAGGTTGGGGAAATACTGGTTTAGAATTTATTTGATTTAATCCACACCATCAGAGCTGATGCTCACGGCCCAGGCACAGTATCAGTTCACCAGGGCTGCTGACAGTCCTTGGCTGATAGACGGATCACCCCCACCCTTTCCTGTCGTCATATTGTCTTCTCTGTGTGTCTGTCTCCCTTCTCTTCTCTTCTGAGGACACTTGTCACTGGGTTTCCGGCTCACCCTAATCCAGGGTGATCTCATCTCAAAGCCCTTAACTTAATTACATCTGCAAAGACCCTTTTTCCAAAAGATAGTTGAATGGGGGGAGGGTATAGCTCAGTGGTAGAGTGTATGTTTAACAGGCACGAGGTCCTGAGTTCAATCCCCAGTCCCTCCATTAAAATGAAAAAATAAATAACCTAATTACCTCCCCCCAAAATAACAAAGATATGTGGACATATTTTTGAGGGGCCACCATCTAAGTCCACCCCCTGAACCTCTCCCCAAAATTCACATCCATCCCCAATGCAAAATGCATCCACCCCATCCCGACATCCTCAAAAGTCTTATCCCTGCTTCAGCTCAGAAATTCCAGATCGCATCATCTAACTCCAGTGTGGGTGAGACTCTAGGTCAGATCCATTTGGGGGCCAAATTCCCTTCCATCTGTGAACCTGAAAACTAGAAAACCAGTTACCTGCTTCCCAAATGCAATGGTGGGACCAGCACAAAATAGGCATTCCCATTCCAAAAGGGAGAAAATAGAAGGAATGAAGGGTCCCTGGTCCCCAGCAAGTTCTAAATCCAACAGGGCAAATTCCAAATTCCAGGTTGCAAGGCCTGGGAGTAATCTAGCCCTCAGTTCAGTCACCATATTTATTCTTCCCAGCAGCTCAGTGAGGTTGTCATCCCCCTGTTATGGGTGAGTAACGGGCTGAGAAACTCACCAGCAAATAAGCCCCAGGATCTTCGCCTTAGTCTCCAAGTTACAGGGAAGATTCTACTACTATTTTCCCCAATTTAAAGATGAGGCTCAGAGAGGTTAATCACACAACAGAGGATCACACAGCTAGTAAGTGGCATTGGTGAGACCCAAACCCAGGTCAGTCTGTCTTCTGAAGTGTCAGTCTAGGACCTGCTCACATGACTGAGGAGTGAGGAATTGGCCCGGGCCTGCCCTTCTCCCCGTGCAGCCTCAGAGGGACAAGCCTGAAAATAAATTACTCGTTTCTCTTCCACTTCCATGGATTTTTGTAAGTTAGAATGCAATAATAAAACAAGGAAGGTGATACTGGTGGCTTAGCCAGTTGGGAGGCCCTCCAGAGGAGGTCAGCTTTTTTTATTTTTCAGTGTTAGGTGGATTTAGGGTTCTCGACTGGGCTGGGGGAACCAGGCCTGTGCTGGGCTTTGGTCTCTGCGACTGCATCCAGTCTCCTGGGCATTGATACAACCCGAGGGCTGTCTTTTGCTTGCTATGCCTAGTATGCCTGACTCAGCTTCTTCAGGCCTCAGTTTTCTCATCTGTGTAATGGGAGCAGTAACAATCCCAGGCTCATCAGATTGTTCCAGCAGTTCATGAGTTGAACTAGAACAGAGGCTGATTCCCACTATTGGCAGTGGCAGTGAGTGCCAGGGGCAGGGAATTGTCCAGCTTGTCCCCACCTCAGGGCCTTCACACTGGCCTCTGCCTGGAATGCTTTCTGGGAGATCTCAGACTGCCCCATGAGAGCACTGCAGTGTCAGGTGGGGATAGCAGTATGGGGCGCGGGAGCTCTGTTGTCCAGGTCCAAGCTGCCTCTGCTGGCAACTGACTGCGTGGCCTTGGGCAAGGCCCTTCCTGTCTCTGGGCCTTGGTTTCCTCATCTGTAAAATAGGAATAACTATACTAACCCCTCTCCAGGGTTATGTTGAGGCTGAGATGTGCTGACACGTGTCAAGTCTGGCTCATGGCAAGTCCTCCAGAAGTGTGCGCTCTTAGGAGAGATGTGGGGGGCACAGGTTGCAGAACGGGGGAGGTGGCCTTTAAGAAGAGCCAGAGAGAAAAGTCTGGGGCTGCAGAGCCCTCTGGGGAGAGGAGTCATTGAGATTATGAACGATCGATGTCCTGGTGTTTCTGGGAAACAGACTTGGCCAGAGCCAGTTCCCAGGGACGGGAGATCAATGGAGCCTCTTATCTGAGGATCGAGGGTCCAGAAGAGGTGTCTGAATGCAACCAGGGCAAACTGGGAGTCAGGTTCATCCAGATCCATGCACAGGCAGGCAGAGCTGGGGCCAGCTGAAGGGAGGCTTGTAGCCTGCAAAGCATCAGACAGACTCCAGACCCCAGGCATGACTCCTGGGGGTATCCAGCAAGCTGGGGGTGAGTGTGCAGATGGGAGGAGGCAGGGGTTGAGGGGAGGTCTAGGCCTGTAGAACTTCTCCTGGGCCTCAGTGTCCTCATCTGAAAAATGGGGACATTCCTTTATCATTTGACAAGAAGTAACCAAGCATTTGCCATGTGCCAGGCCCTGTTCTGGGCACTGAAATCACAGCTGTGAACAAGAGAGACAAAAATAAACCTCCTGTCTTGAGGAGCTGATGCCCCAAAGGGCACTGAGTTTAAAAAAGCTCCGCAAGTGCCCTTAACTTTTTTCTCTCCTCCTCCAAATGCACTGGGCACCCAGTCTTTCTTTCTCATGTCCATCTACATGGTGTTAATTATTTGAGTAATTGAGGCACTAACTCCTACCCCCTTCATTTCTCCAATGCTCCGCCAGCCTCCTAAGACTCAACAAGTTTGCCCCCACCACCCCAGGGCCTTTGCACGGGCTATTCCCTCTGCCTGGGAATGCTTTGCCCACCCTACCTGTATCCTTGTGAGAGATTATCTTGTTCATTTACCAACAGTTGTGTGGCCTTGGGCAAGAGACTTAATCTCTCTAGGCTTCAGTTTTTTCATCTGTAAAATGATGCTAAGAATTGCCTCCTTTAGGGCTGAGGGCAGAGGGGTTATTACAAGTCAAGGGTTTAGAACAGCACCTTGTGTCACTGAAGTGTTTGCTGTTATTATTGCTCTTGTGATTTTTTATTGTGTTTATGCACATATATTACCTGCTCTCCCTGTAACTGGAATATCGGGGTGGGGGGCATACTTACTACAAGCATTTAAAGCCATGAGACAGTTCCACCCCTAGGGAGAAGGTGTCCCTGTGTCCTGGAAACATCGTGTGCCCCAGTCCTGCCCAGGAGATAACGGGGGACCAGAGGCAGGGTCAGGAAGGGTCAGAGAGATACAGGCTTTTGTAGAAAGTTCTCTTCCCCTCTGATTTCTAGGCAGCAGCCCTGCCGGCAGGAGGCGGGGCACACACAGCGTCTTCATCTCTTAATGAGAATCAATAACGCACTGGGAGAGTTTCAGGACACGGCCCCCCAACCGACGTCCTCCGGGTCCTTTGAATGGTGGAATCTTAGGCAGGATCCAGAAATGTTTGCTCTGTTCTAACTCACATGTGGGTTCTTTTCCGTTGGCCTGCCTGCCACAGAGAGAACCAGGGCTCCGGGGTCCCCGTGTCGGGCCCCAACCTGTCGACCACCCGGCCGATCCAGCAGGACCTGGGCCGCCAAGAGCCGCCGCTGGCCGAGGACATCGACAACATGAAGAACAACAAGCTGGCCACCGCGGAGTCGGCCAGTCCCCACGACGGCCTCGGCCACGCCGGCCTGCCCCAGAGCCCCACCAAGATGGGGAACAGCACCGACCCCGGCCCCACGCCGGCCCCGCCCGCCACGGCCACCAACCCCCAGAACGCCGCCAGCCGCCGGACGCCCAACAACCCTGGGAACCCATCCAACCCCGGCGCCCCCAAGACCCCCGAGAACAGCCTTATCGTCACCAATCCCAGCAGCACCCAGACCAACTCAGCTAAGACTGCCAGGAAACCCGACCACACCACGGTGGACATCCCCCCTGCCTGCCCGCCCCCCCTCAACCACACCGTCATCCAAGGTAAGGACCTCCAGCCTCTCATGTCAGTCACTGGGCAGGGGCTCCAGCCTCTTGGGCTGAGTCCCCAGAGGTTCAGTTGAGTGACCCTGGACAGTGACCTCGCCTCTCTAGCCTCAGTTTCTTCCTCTGGAAAATGGGTAGAGACCTAGTTCCTGCCCCACGGGGCTGCTGGGAAGATTGAGATAATATGCTCAGTCAGTTAGCAATATTCCCTGCATCCCGAATTCCCACAGGGGAGCCAGGGAGCCCCCATACCTGAGAAGCAGTGGATTCCTCTGATGGAAATCTCAGGGAGCCAGAGGATCCTCTAGGCCAGCGCTGTCCAAAGGATGTGTGACACGAGCCACATCAGTCATTTTAAACTTTCTAGTAGCCATGTCACGAGAAAGAGGAAGGAAGGAAAGGAGGGAAGTGGGGAGGTGGGAAGGAAGAAATGACTTTAAAAAGAAAAAGGAAAATAGGTGAATGAACTTTAATAGTAAATTGTATTTAACTCCAAAACCTATTTACTTATATCCAGATACCCAAAATGTTAACACTTCAATATGTAATCAGTATCTTTAAAATTATTAACAAGATAGTCTGCACTCTTTTTCTTGTCCTCGGGCTCAGAAATCTGGCGTCTTTTATGCTGACAGTGCACCACGCTTGGGACCAGCCACATCTCAAATGTTGGACAGCACAAGTCTAGGCCCTTGAGGGACTGGCTGTTTTTGCCCCCCTACCCACTACAGAATCTCCCCCATGTAAGATTGGGATCTGAGAAGCACTAGGCAGGATTTTGGAATTTACCCCTTGAGCTTAGTATTTTTAAGAAGGTAGCAGTAGTGCAATTCCTTTGTGTCAGGTCTATGCAAGAGCTGTTGCATGAGTTTGCTCCATAGACGCTCACCACAGCCCGCCAAGAGGTGGAGCTTGTCATTGTGCTCATTTCACAGGTGAAAAAACTGAGGCTCAGCGAGGCTCAGGCTGTCCACAGACACATAGGCACAGCTAGGCTGCAGAATCAGTGCTCAGGAGGGTGGCGCCTCCTTGCCACAGTCAGGAGAGGGATGTTCATGGAGGGAAACCCTGCAGTTTGACTGTGGGAGAGCTCAATATTCCCATCTGTAAAGTGGGCTCTTGGGACTCACCCTTCTGCCTCTGAGTGACAGTATGAAGGTCATCAGGGGCTGGGGCCAGGTCTGTGTTGAATACCCTTGAGACCCGAGGCTGTAGATTGGTTGAGAGCAAGCACTCTGAGGCCAGGTTACCTAGGTTCAAATCCCAGCTCTGCCACATCCCAGTCGTGTGACCTTAGGCAAGTCACTTCCCCTCTCTGTACCTCAGTTTCCTCATCTGTAAAGTGGGGATCGTAAAGTATCAACCTCATAGGGTCACGTGAGGATTCAATGGCATAATAGGGTACCTGGCACACAGTAGGCACTTTATAAGTGTTGCCCATCTGGGGACTAGACAGGAGGCCAGAGCCTTGGGGGAAATCGTGGAGGGAGCCCTGTGTTGGTTCTTGTCCCAACAGTGAACAAAAACGCCAACCCAGACCCACTGCCAAAAAAGGAGGAAGAGAAGAAAGAGGAGGAGGAAGACGACCCTGGGGAAGACGGCCCCAAGCCCATGCCCCCCTACAGCTCCATGTTTATCCTCTCCACGACCAACCCGTGAGTATGGCCCACGGCCAGGGCAGGGGCCCAGGGCTCCCTCTGGGGCAGTGGGAGTCAGCCGGAGGGCAGACCCAGACAAAGGGTAATAGGGGAGAGTTGCCTCTAAGACCATTAGTCCACAGGGGACTTTTGAACAGATTTTTTTAATAATGCCCCTTTCTTAAGTCATATAAGATAGAAACTTACCACAAAGTACTGATTTTGTTGGAAAAGACCCCCTCCTGCCATCAGCTAGAAAATCATTGTCATAAATATCGAAATCTACACTGTCTGTGATGTGAGAGGTGTCCCTTAAAAATGTCTGCCTTGTGCAGTACACAACCTGTACAGCCATGCGTGGCAGCCCTGTCCCTGAGCTCTGCGGCATCGGGGATTGAATTCTGAGTAGATAGTCTCTGAGTTCCATGGCCCTCTGTCTTGGCATCCTTGAGGAGGATGGATTATTTAGGGGAGAAATTTATCTCGTGTATGTCGTAGTGGCTCAGGGGTTGTTTTAGAATTGCATTTTTCCAAAGGGTGTTTCTTGAAACCCTGGCCCTTTAGAATGCTTCTTGACAAGAAGAATCATGTTAAATAAGCTGCAGGGAAAACTACTTCCTCTAAAACTGCCTCTCAGAGATACACCCTGTGTGTCTACTTGTTTACTTGGTTGACATTGCTGTTTTACTAAAGAAATGTGGCACTTACTCAGAGCTAGGCACTATTCTGAATGCTTTACAAATTTAAAAAATTCTCATAATAACCCCATGGAGTTGGTACTATGCTTATCCCCATTTGATAGATGAAGAAACTGAGGCCCAGAGAGGTAAAGTCACCTGCCCAAAGTCATACAGCAAGTAAATGGGAGAACCCAAATAGACTCCAGCATCCCTGTTCTTAGCCATTCAACCCTGCAGCCGTTCGTACAATCTCATAACATATATATCACTATTAGCTCCACTTAAGAGGTGAAGTACTTGGGTACTCTCTCATTAGCACAGAAAAGGCTCTGATAAGGCCTGCAATTCATAATTTAAGTAACTAACTTTTTCAAGTCCCAACCGTGTACCAGGCATATATTAACTCTTTCAATCCTCACATTCTTGTGAGTGAGGCACCATTATTACGGTCATTTCACAGAGCACTGAGCTACAGTAACTTGCCTAACGTCACTCAACTAATTAAAAAAAAGAAGAAGAAGAAGAGGAAGAAGAAATCTACTTAACCCAGAATTTCCCAATTGTGTTTGACCATGTGACACTTTATACATGAAATGCCTTTTCATCTCCTGTGGAATCAAGGACAGTATTTCTTCAACTCAGCCTGTGAATTAAGATGTTCCGAGAGGGTTGTTTGGAAGTGATAGGAACTTACAAACGGAGTGTAAATATTTTCCCTTGCCGAGGGCTCCCCTGCCCCCAAGAGGGCCCCCAGATCTAGGAGCTTGATAAACCCTGTTGGGTGTGGGACCTTGGGAGTTAGAGGTCTCAGGTAGCAGTGGGTGATGTAAGGAGATTACAGAAGAAAAGGGCTCAGTACCTGTGGTCTGAGTCGACCTCTGCATGCCCACCTGTCCCCAACAGCCTTCGCCGCCTGTGCCATTACATCCTGAACCTGCGCTACTTTGAGATGTGCATCCTCATGGTTATCGCCATGAGCAGCATCGCCCTGGCGGCCGAGGACCCCGTGCAGCCCAACGCGCCACGAAATAACGTGAGTCCCACCCTGCAGGTCCTTCCCAGCCCGGTTCTTCTGTCATCAGCCACTTTCTCCTGCATCCTAAAAGCTGACAGCTAGGGTGGGCGAATGCTGGGGGCACCCCTGGCCACAGCCCCTGTGGCTACTGGTGGGGGCGGGGAAGCTCTGATCCTTTGGGGGTGTTCTTGAGGAAGGGTGTTCCTTCGCGGAGATGATGGCTCCGTGCACCCAGAGTGGCTGGGGCTGAAAACCACTGGAACCCCTATGGGAGTAGTGAGGCCCGCAGGATGTGGCGGTGCACAAGCCCTGCATGGAATGTGGGGGTCCTGAGGCAAGGGTGCTCTGGCGGCCATCCCCTTGGCAGCCAGGTCTCACCAGACTTTTCTGTCTTGAAACGAAGCTTTGAAAGAAAGGGTTATTTTGACTCAGAAGCACAGCCTAAACTTTTAGCTCTTTGGAGAGATAAAAAGCTCTCCTTCTGGGGACCTGGGGTCTACTAACAGCCCCTGGCAATTGAGTGCTTTCTGTGTTCCAGACACAACCCCGGGTGCCTGGGGGTATCTCCATTGGACAGATGAGGAGACTGAGGCTCAGGGAGGTTAAGTGACCTATCCAGGGTCACACAGCAGAATTCCAATTCTGCCTCCCCTAGATGTTCTGCTACTTCCCTCAACCATTTCCATTTATCAAGCACCTACTGTGTGCATGTCCCCCCTTGAGTCCTGCCAGAATGAGTGCGTGCCCTTGTGAGCGGGGAAACCAAGGCACCAACAGGCGAGGGCGTGGCAGAGGCTGGACTGGTGGCTGCACCTTCTTCCCCAGCGCCTTCCTCCAACCCCATCACCTCCCTTCCCCAAGAGCCAAAGGTACATTTTCCACCGGGAGCCAGGCCCTGTCGCCCTCGCTAAGTAGGTTAGGAGCCTTGGCAAGGCTGGCAAGTCCCATAAATCAAGCCCGTCCGCAGCTTACTTTGCACTTTCCCTCCCTTCGCAGGCCTGGCAGGCCCCCTGGGGCCCCGATGGGGAGATGGAAGGAGATAATTAGAACAAGGCTCCTGGAGGAAACTGGGAGCAGGGCAGGACTGAGCAGGGCAGGACTGAGGCTGCACTCGGTCATCTTCTGCTGCCCGCTTTCCCCCAGGGACCCAGGAAGCCCGGCTGGGGGAGGAGGCATCCCAAAGAGGGGTCAGCAGACTCTTGGCAGGGACTGGAGCAGGGAAGGGGTGGGCATCAGGGGCTCTGGGGGGCCACTGTAGCTCCCGGGGCTATAGAGAACCCCACAGGGCTCGACCCGCCGCCAAGGAACGGTTGCTGAGTTCTGGCTCCCCCAGCTCCACCCTGCTCCACCTCCTGGTTGAAGCTTCTCTCCTCAAAGCCCTCTCCTCTTCAGGAGCACGGTGGCCCTGATGTCCCGGGACTCCCACGAGCGCCCCCCAAATTCTTTTTATGAGCTGATCTACAACAAGTCTCAGAAAAGTGCATAGAACACAAATGATCCATTTATCAAGGATTTTAAAGAGTGTAACCCGTGTAAACACCACCCAAGGCAAGAAGTAGAACAGAACTGACCCCAACCACAGGCACCCCCTACATCGGCTCCTCTTCCTCCCCTCTGGAGCTGGTTCACAGCCAGGGACAGTGTCTGGAGACACGTTTGCATGTCATGAGTTCAGGAGGGCATGAGGTTGCTACTGGCATCAAGAGGGTGGGGACCAGGGACACTGTTCATCACCCTACAGAGCACGGGGCAGCCCCACCACAGAGAAGGATCTGAGCCCTATTGTCAACAGTGCCAAGCTTGAAAGACCCAACCCCAGAGGTAGCCACAGCCTCCACTTCTGGAAGGAGCATTTCTTAGCTCCTCTAATTCTCCCACCTGCATGTGCATCTTTAAACACTAGAATTTATTTTTGCCTGTTTCTAACACTAAACAGATGGAATAATTCTGTGCCTCTCTTCTGTCACCCCCACGTCGTGTCCTCCGGGAGGAGCACACATTGCCGTGGGTAGCAGTAGCCATTCTTTTTCGCTGCTGTTTAGTATTCCACTCTCTGACATAATTTGTTTATCCATCTTCCTGTTGACATGCACTTGAATTGTCTGCAGTTTAGAACGCTGTCACCACACCCCCTACCCCAGAATTATCTCCTGGGGCACCAGGACATGACTTTCTCCAGGGGATAAAACCAGAGATAGAGTTTCTGGATCATAGAACCTGCATGTGGTCTGCCCCACCAGATGCAGCCAGAATGTTTACTGGGTGATCCAGTGACACATGCACCAGCAATGTGCAAGGCTCCCACTGCTCCACAGTCTTGCCAACACTTGGTGCTGTCAGCTCTGTCATTTAGCCAACCCAGTGAGTGTGGCGTGGACTCTCATTGGGGCATTGATTTGCATTTCCCTGTGATTAATGAGACTGAGAACCTGGATTTGGATTCCACGGAGCCACAGAAAATTGCCATTTGTGTAGTTCAAAATGATCTACACATCAGGTGTGGTTGAGCCTAATTTATTGGTCTTTTGATTTCTTCTTGCCCCACTTACTAAGCTCTTCTGAATTTGATTCACCTAATCACCTGGCCTCTCTGAACCCCTACTCCTTGCCTTCCTTCTTTCCTCCTTTCCTTTCATTCATTGCTTTATTTAGTAACTATTTAATGAGCAACTACTATGTGTCAGATACTGAGCTAAACATGAAGGATCAACAGGGTATGGGATGGTCCCCGCCTTCCCAGAGCTCACAGAGCACCAAGCCTTTACCCATGCTGGACCCTCTGCCCCGTGCACCCGAAATGCTCTCCCACCCACCCTCCAGCCCTCCCAGATCCTTCCAGCCCCTTGCACCCACCACCCATCCCTGGAAGTCAGCACTGCTGGCCACTCTGGTCTCTGATGGCCCTTCAAGCATAATGGGAATGCATTGTGACCACCCAGATCAGAGAGCCCAGCTCTTGCAGGTCCCAGTACAGCTCCAGCTACCCATGCATTCATTTAGCAAACATTTCTTGAGCACCTGCTATATGCCTGGCCCTGTGCTGTACAAGCTGGAGATGCCACGGGGACAGACAGACATTCCTGCCATTGTGAGGCTGATATTCAGGTGGGGGAGATAGACGGTGAGTATTGATAACTATTACAAATAATTTGTCAGGAAGTGGTAAGTGCTGGGGGTGGGGGCGGGAGAGAAGGGGTAAACTTAGTAGGAAGATCAAAAGCACTAGGAAATGGAATTTTAACCAGGCCGCCAGGGAAGGCCTCACTAAGAAAGTAACATTTCAGCCAAGCCAAAAAGGAGAAGAGAGAGGGAATCAGGTGGAACATGAGGAAGAGCATTCTAGGCATTGAGAACAGCCTTTGCAAAGGCCCTGAGGTGAGATCCAGGGTGACAGAATCAGAGTGAGCAAGAGGGAGAGTGTGATGAGGTGAGGACAGGGAGGTGACCAGGCAGATTGTGTAGGGCCTTGCAGGCCACGGAGAAGTTTGGCTTTTACCCCGAGGGAAGTGGGAGCCACAGAGGGTACATGAGCAAAGAAGGGCTGTGACCTGACTTGGATGTTCACGGGCGCCCTCTGGTGGCCATGCTCAGTAATTACCAGCCCTACTTCTCCAGGGCAAATCTGATGGGGTCAGCGCCGTGCGCTTACAACGTGCTGGGCACTGTGCCAGCACACTCAGCATCTTCACACCAGGGTCACACCAGAGACATGCTGTGGCATGACCAAGAAAGGGGCCAGAGTGCAGGATGTTGCCCATCCAGACAGAAACCACTAATGCCCAGTCCCTGTAAGGTGGTTGGGAGGGGAAGAATCAATCCACTCTGATGAGGCTGTGGCCACAGAGTCGGGAGGGAGATGGACACTGCAGTGATGTTGGCTCCCAGCGTCAGTCCTGGAGGGCTGGGCATGCTTGGGAAACCCCATGTAGGAACAGTTTCTCACCCAGGAACCCAGCAGGTCAAGGCACTGGGGGAATCATACTTGTCACCAACAGAGATACAGTCCTCTCTGGACTTCCCTGGGGCCACCTCTAGTCCATATAGGGCTTTGGGCAAATAAAAAAGGCACCTTTCCCACTGATTATCAAACAATCCTAATAGAGTGATTTTTTGTTAGGACTTTGCTGCCACCTGCTGGACAGTTCCATTCACAACCTACAAATTGCCCTGGGACAGGGTGGGAGGGGCCCTTGTGCAGTGCAAGACCTGCCCAACTGTACGTGACTGCAGCATTTCCCCCTGTGGGTAGAGACTTTGCTCCTTGGGGACTTTTCTGGAGGCCACACACCCCAGTGGGCCATATCTAGGTTCACGGGGGCTCTGCTGGAGCAAGCCAGTGACCCACCACCACCTTGCTTTTATCCCCGGCAGGTGCTGCGATATTTTGACTACGTTTTCACAGGCGTCTTTACTTTTGAGATGGTGATCAAGGTGAGTGCCAGGACTCCAGAGGATTCTGCACCATCACGAATGCCACGCTGATTCAGGACGCTCATCCCAGAGATGAGAAATGCTTAGTGTGTTTGAAGAGCAGCAAGGAGGCTGGTGTGGCTGGAAGGAGTGAGTGAAGAGAGTGGGGAAACCGGAGCAGGGAGGTGACAGGGACGGATCATGCAGGAACTTGGGGGCCCTGGGAAGGACTTGGGCTTTTCTCCCAAGTGAAGTGAGAGCCATGGGAAGTTCTGAGCAGAGGGACGGGACTGGACACGGGTGTCCTCTGTAGGGAGGACAGACTGGGAAGAGGGAGCCAGGTGGGTGGGACCCGAGACAACAGGGAGCAGGCAACTGCACTGGTCCAGGCAAGTGATGACGGGGACCAGCCCAGGGTGGTGGTGAAGGTGATGAAAAGTGGGCAGAATCTTGGAAGGTTCAGAAGGCAGAACCAACAAGGTTTGCCAACGGATCTGATGTGGGGTGAAAGACAGAGGAGCTGAGGGGGACCCCAAGGTTTTGACCTACAAGCCAGCGAGTCAAAACGGCCTTTTATGAAGTGGGAAGGTGCCTCGGGCAGGGGCTCCTCCTTCCTCCCCCAGGTCCTCTGGCCACTGTCCCAGCCCTTCAGGGTGAGGTGGTCCTATTGGCTACCACGCCCCCTCCTGTGGCCCCTCCCCCTGAGGCTAGAAGGGTGAGTGCTGCTCCCCAGGGTGGGGATGAGGGTTCAGAATGCCGTCTCTTCTCTCCCGGTAGATGATCGACCTGGGGCTCGTCCTGCACCAGGGTGCCTACTTCCGTGACCTCTGGAACATTCTCGACTTCATAGTGGTCAGTGGGGCCCTGGTGGCCTTTGCCTTCACGTAAGTCTGCTCTCTAGGACTCCACTGGCCTCTCTGTCCTCCCAATCCCCAGCCTGGAGCTTCCCATTGGATCGGGGTGTGTAGCGATGGGGACAGTGGGCTCTGGGGCGGCGGGAGGCATCTGCATGCCACCAGGAAGAGCTTCGATTGGCTTTTGCATGATGCCCACCACAGAGGAAGAAGGACCCCTGCCTTCTACCTCCTCACACGGCCACGTCCCCGTCCCCTTGCTGTGCTGCTTTCCGTAGACTAGCCCCACCGGGACATCTCATCTTCCTTCTGCTCTACCAGCTCCGCCCAAGCCACTGTCTCTTTGGGGAGCCCCTAAAAAGACAATCAGGAAATGAACGTGCATGAGAATTCAGAGCCCCCAACCCTGTGCCCGAAGGCCCTGTAGTTGTAGCTCTGATGACTCCCCTTGTGTGTCTTTCACTTCTCCTGGTGGTCCCAGGATACTCTGCCCTCCAAAAGGTCGTTCCTCACCATGCAACTCCAAAATGGCCCCAGGGTGTGAGAGGCCATTCCAAAAAGGCACCCAAGGGCTGAGAAGCCATTCCAAGATGGTGCTCAGGCTCTGGGCAGCCATCCATGATGGCAGCTGAGTTCTGGGCAGCCATTTCAAGATGGCACCTGAGGGCTCAACGGTCATTCCAAGATGAAACCCAAAGGCTTAGTGACCATTCTAAGATGATGCCCAGATGCCCAAGTGGCTCTCCCAAGATGGCATCCAAGGGCTGAGTAGCTATTAGTTCTTAGAGCCATGGTAGCAAACTTAGCAAGACATTGCTCAAGTTGTAGGCGCTTGTGGCAGGTTGGAAAAACCTAATCCGCCCCTAACCCAGAAACAGATCTTCCTGGGGACCCTGTCTGTGCCATCACAGTGGATCGTTCCCAGAAAAGAAAGTCTCAGAGGGATTCTGACCCAGCTCAGCCACTTAATGAGCAATCAGGGGCCTCCTCTGTGCCTCTGCCAGCTGTTCCCCTCTCAGCAGATCTGGAGGAGCCCTTAAATGGCCCACCGGACCAAACAATGAGGACTTGGTTTGTCAGGGGGCCAGAGTGGTGGCTCATTTCCAATTTAAGGACTAAAGTGGGCCACTGTCAAATTCTTCCCTGGGAACACAATGAGGTCAGGTTGTGTCAGAAGAGCAAGAAATCTCCAGAGTTTCTGGATACCTCTGAGCCGGTGGAGATGTACCATGAAGGTCAGGAGGCTGAATGTATTTCCGACTCTGGCCAGACGTCCCAGCTTTTCTCTTTATCTCCCATCTCCTCCCCTGTCTGTCTTCTTCTTTCTACTCTCTCTCCTTGTCTTCTCTTTCTTCCTCCCCCACCCCCAACTTGTTAAGGTTATTGAGTATTTATTTGCTCATTAGAACAATGGGAAAGATCATTTTAAAAATTCAAGAAGTTTGGTTACATTATCATCAAGATGTCCTGTAGGAATGATAATCATAACAATCACAACAACAATAATCAAAAACAAAGTAAAATGCACAGCAAATTAGAAGGGAAATGTTGCCGCAAATGAGACAAGGTGTCATGGCCTACATATATAAAAAGCAATTACAAATCAATAAGAAACACTCCACAGAAAATACTTGAGTGGAGGATTTACAAAGAAATTTTACAGGATGCTGACTACTAAAAATAAAAAAAATTCATCAGAATTGGAAATATAAAATACTGGGGGGAAGGCATAGCTCAAGTGGTAGAGTGTATGCTTAGCATGCATGAGGTCCTGGGTTCAATCATCAGTACTGCCTCTAAGAATAAATAAATAAGTAAACCTAATTACCTCCCACCACCAAAAAAAATAAAAGAATATGGTTTTAAAAAAAGAAATATAAAATACAAACAAGATACAGTTTGTTTATCAAGCTAGCATGCATTTCTTCAAGAAAAAAGATCTTTAAAGGTAGTACACTGGTCCCTGCACTGCTTCCTCCCTCCATTGAGCGGCTTCTACAAGATGTCAGGCAGGCACCAGGCTGGGTGCTGAGAAGATTTCAATTCTGAAAAGCCAGAACATTTTACTGTCCTCAGCCTGGAGTGAATCCATCTCGAATCCCCTCCCCTCCCTTGTTCCTTGTTTCTGCTTTCTCCTTCTTTCTCTTTCCCCTTTTTTTCTCCCCCTCCCTCTCTGACTCTCTCCTGCTCACTCTCTCTCCCCCTCTCCCCCTCCCCCGACTCTTTCTCTCTCTCTCTCTCCCTCCCACTCTCTCCCTGCACCCGACCTTGGTTGATGATGGAGGCCTGATCTCCTGCCCAACCTGGGCCACATGGCCTGGAGAAGGTGGACATTCCACCATCTGTTCTGGCATCGAAGACCCAGGCCCCACCGTGTTCTGACTGGGGATGCTCTTCATGTGGAGGGAAGGCACGTTCAGGCAGGCAGCCTTCCCACACTTCCTCAAGCCCTCCAGGGTGATGTCTGCCCAGCAGCCCCCCAGGGCCACAGGGCTCAGGAAGTGACCACACCCATCTCTCCACACACAGTGCCGCCCCCCACTTGCCGACTGTGCCCTGAGTGGTGGGTTTTGCCCTCCGTGCTACCACCGGGAGTGGCACAATAGAATTAGTATCTGCTACCCATCAGTTTACCCTTAGCATTTCCCTTCCAGACCCCCATGGGAGCTAACAAGCTTCAGTGCGGAAAAAGGGAGCCCCACGATTGCCCTGTCCCACCTCCATCCCCCATTTGCCCTCTTGAAAAGACCTGGGAACAAACCTCTCAAACAGAGAGCTTTTGCTGTGCTGGGCCATCGTTTCCCTGGAGCTACATTAGGCTCAACTTTAAGCAAACCTAATCTGCAACAACAAAATAATTTTTCCACCAAAAATCAATCAGCAAAGTGATTCTTTGTCTTTGCAAAAGAATCTGCCACAGGGACCTGATTTTTTGTTTTTAATATTTGAATTTCCATTTTAAATATAAAGTTATACAAGGGCATTCAAAATGAGCCTACAGCTCACGGAAACTTGGCAGCCTTTTGTAGAGTCAACCTTTTAAACAGGTTTTATGAAGTTGTTACAGGCAGACAGCCAGTCAGTCCATGTCCTTGAAGATGCCTGTTTCAAATTATTTTTTAATTTTTATGCAAGGAATGGGTCTGGACAGGGATTTAAGGCCGTCCCTGTGAGTCTCAATGAGCTCATAGATCTTGCAGGAACTGGAGTGTGTAAGATTTTGCCAGTGGGATTCTCACAAGTGCTAAGGATTCTTACAGGGTTTTAGATGATCTGACGGCCCCCAGAGCACCTTTATGTGATGGTCACAGGGATGGGGGAGAGAGACCCTGAGGCCCCACCCCTGCCACACCCTCCCCATCTCACTGCCAAGAATCCATCTGGCACTGCTACGCTCCTCCAGGGCAGGGCTGCCGGCCAGGCACAACTGGCCCAGCACCTTGATCAAGCCACTCCTGCATGCCCAGGGCAAATCTACCAGACAGCCAGAGAAGGAGCCCTCAAGCTGCTACATTTTTGCCCAGAAAAGTTTCAGAATCCTCCCCCTGGCTTCACATTTTTGGCCTCTCTTGCCTGAGAAGGTGTCACCCTGCAAGAACTTTGCTTACCGTCTTTCCTTTTTACCAGATGGATGTCACATTGGCAGGAGTAGGGGCTGCTCTGAGAGTCTCCGTTTGAGTGCTTGATCCCAGAGTCCTTTGCTTCTTTTGTTTCTGTTCTTTTAACTCATGTTATCTGTCTTGGGTGCCTGTCTCCTCATAGACAAGGCTGAGAACCCCAACAGGAGTTAGATTAACCTTATCGTTTTAGAAAAAGGTCCCCGCAAGTCTGTCTGATTTCTCTCTAGATGTGCAAGTCCCTCAACCCCTCTGTACCTCAGTTTCCCCATAAAATCAAGAAATTTGGGGAATCAGAAGAATGACAGCCTCCACTTACTTAATCTTTACAACAACCCCAGGCAGGAATTTGTCTTATTATTCCCTCTTTAGACATGAGGAAACTGAGGCTCAGAGAGATGGCAGAGGGAAGTGAGTCTCGCAAGATCACTGAGGTTGCGTCCAGCTGTCAGATTCAGGATTGCAGCCCTGAAGGTGGAGGCTTTCACACGTCAGCAGAATGAGACTTGGCAGCCCAGCCAGCCTGGGTTCCCTGAGGCCCCCGCAGGGCCTAGAAATCCAGGAGGAGGGGGCATGAGCTATTCCCCTCTGTCAAAAGGAATCTTGCTATGCTAGCCTTTTAGGGTGGAGGCAAAGATTCTGCCGCGGTGCTGTGATTGTGGCCCCGTCTCGGATGTGGGAAAACTATCCCTGTGGTCCTCCAAGGGATGTGTCGAAGCTCTCCCGACGGTTTCCACCCCTCCTGCACCTCCCTCCAGATATGTGTGTGTGTGTGTGTCCTGCTCCATCAACTGACTGTGTGCTGTGTCCACATGACCACCATTAACACCCCATTTCATAAGTCATCGCACATGGCATCACGCTCTGTGCCCATGCATCGGGGTGGCCAACTGACATTTCTCAGCAGCTGGCAGACCATGATCCTGCCCTCACTGCCAAGAGGCCATCTGGTGCGGCCACTCCTCCCTTAGGGCGGGCCAGCACAGCTGGCGGAGCACCTTGATCAAGCTGCTCCTGTATGCTCAGGAGCCGAACTGCCAGGAAGCTAAAGAAAGAGCCCTCACAGCCTGCCTTTTTTTTTATACCCAGCCTCAAAACAGGGCCTACCCCGGAAGGCATCATTTTGTGTGTGTGTCATGAGGTGGAAAGATTAGAGTGCAAGATACACAGACCTGGGTTTGAATCTCAGTCTGCCACTTCCTGGCTGTGTGACCTTGAGCAAGTCACTTTCCCTGTCTGAGCCTCAGCTTCCTCATCTGGAAAGTGGGTGTAAGGGTACCAGCTTCCCACAGGCAGACGCAGTGACATTTGGAAAACTTATCTATTATACCTAAAGTCATCCATCAGGTTGGGCAGAAATCACTGTCATTGAAAGAGTCCTCAGTAATCCCTAAAGGAGAATGTGTTCAATTCTGTGGATGCAGTAATCCCTAGATGCATCGAGCTTTGAGAACCACTGAGCTGAAGTGAAAAAGGTCGGGGTAGGGAATCCAGCGGGAATAGTTACAGGCTTGTAAATCATTATGTTTTTAGAACTATCACTAACTTCAAAAGGGATGGCAGGTGGAAAATTCTGCAGTCTCTGCTCAGCAGTCGGGCTTCTGCTGTTCTAATGGCAGTCGAGTTTCTCTTGCCATGATCTCTAGTCACGGGTGGACAGTCATAATGAGACTGAGTGTGATTCCGAAGATGAGTTAGGTACGGGGCCACTGCCGGATGCTAGAGTTTTCCCCCAGGCCCCAATTTTCCGAGAGGACTCTTGAGATTTACCCCTTAATGTCATCCCAGATTGGAACTCTTAGCTGACCTCGCTCTCCTTCATAACGTAGCGGGTAAAGCCAAGGCCACTGCTACTGTGTGTCCAGCATCAGAATCCTGAAGGTCTGTTTTACAGATGAGGACAGTCATTAAGGGCAGTGCTGGAAGTCAAACCCAGGCCCCCCCTGCTCCAAAGCTCAAACCTTCAAGACACTCTAAAACCTTCCAGCCCCAGAACCTCTGGAGAAAAGGAGCTTTTCTCCAGCTCTTGGCAGTGACCTTCGGTGGCGAATTCGCCTTTGGTAATTGATGACTTTCTGGCTGTCCTGCTACTTGGAAATTTGGCTTTCTTGGTGCTGTTGGGCAGTGCCGGGAGGCCTGCCAAGGGCAGGGGACTGAACGGGGGTCTTCTAGATGGAAGGATGGACCATCCAGAGCCACGAGCCTGAGGCGGCCCCCCACCCCCGGTGCCCGCGCCGGGCAGGGGAGCGCTCAGGTGCGCGTGCGCATGCGTGCGTGTTCTGTGTTCTTTCTTCTGAGGCCGCTTACGATCTGTCTCTCCCTCTGACGCCACCTCACCAGGAGCAGTACACGGTAAAGTGCCTCTCTCTCTCTCTCTCTCTCTCTCTCTCTCTCTCTCTCTCTTACTCTCTCACTCTCAACTCTCACTCACTCTCGCTCTCTCGTCTCTCGTTCTCTGTGCCCTGATGCAGCCGCGTTGGTTCTGGGCCTGCTTCCGTAGCGTTGTGTTCTTGCTGCTGTCCTGTCGCTTGCAGTGACCAGAGCCCCCCTCAGCCTTCTCCCCAGCGAGAAGGAGCCCTGAGGGGGTCTTGGGCACTGCCTCTCACCATGACCCACCGTTAGCTCAGTTCTTAGCAGAGAACGTAAAGAGTTTGGAGAGGAGATCTCCCCACAGTCTGATTTCAACTGATTTCAGTAAAGCAGACAAGCGGGCTGGGTGGTTATCTGGGGAGTGAGTGTCCAGCCTCTCAGATGGGAGAATGGTGGACAGTCCAAACAACCAGGACTTGGGCTTTAAGAGGAGCATCTATACTCTCAGCAAAGTGATTCAAAAATCTGGTTGGTTTCCGAGAGAACACCTTGATCAAGCCACTCCTGCATGCTCAGGAGCCAAACTGCCAGGAGCACTCTCCTCGTGTCTCAATACATAGGATTGTTTCTCAGCCTCTGCAAAGGGAGAAGCGCCTTCTGGGACTCCAGCTGGGTTCTTTGTTAAAAGAAATCAGTGAGTGTCAGGGAGGTGCTAAAGACCTCTTCACACATACCGGAGGCTTCCTCTCTGACCAAAGCGGAAGGCCTGAGGGGTAACTTGAAGAAGAAATAGCTATTTCCCTGCGTGATCTAGTTACTTAACTGTGTTTGTGTTCTGCGTAACAGTCTCTCTCCTGACGTGTGCCTCGTACATTGAGGGCACAGCTTTGAAATGATAATGTTGACTTTGGTTTAGAAAGGAAATAAACATGTTCAGACTGCTGAATCCTGGGGCATGGCTGTGCCTGGCAGGCTAAAGTCCAATTCTCCTCTTTATGCTCTGAAAAAAATGAGAGAAAGGAACCCTAAAAAAGCAAATGTCGCAAGGATGTTGTTACACCTGGATACTCAGGCATACCACGGTGGGTGGCACTGGGGAGGCTCTGTTCATTACCCAGGAGGTAACTGTGGGGAGATGTTTGCCAACTGACCCCCAAAGAACTCCGATCCCAATTCATTCACGTGTCCTGCCTGAGACGGCCCACCAGGTGCAGGCTGGGTGTTGAGACATGGACCAAGATTAAAGGGAAAATGAACACATTTTCATTTTCAATAAATCACAGTTTCACCTTTGAGGAGTTTTCTGTCTAAAGCCAGCAGCCAACGACATAAACAAAAATGGTTCTGAAACAGCGCCAGGGTCTGGCAGAGCTCAGGGGCAGATAGATGGTGGAGGCTGTCGGATGGAGGGACATTTACCTCGGGCTTTGAGGGCTGCGTAGTCCTGCGAACGGAGACATGGAGGAGGGGCATGTCTAGCAGCGGGAACAGTATATGCAAAAGCAGACAGAAGTAAAAGTGTCCGGCTGGGGCTGGGGGGGTGTGGTCATCAATGGGGATGCAAAGGTAAAGGTAAGCTGGACTAGATTTTGAAGAGCCCTGAATGCCGAGCTAGGAGTTTGTACTTCAAGGAATTCAGATGCTCCAGAGGGATCCTGACCAGGAGACCGACATGGTCATTGGTTTTGGCCACTGTGTGCGAAAAAGATGGAAGAGAGACAGGGATGGGGGGAAAGTGGAGAGGTGGATATTGGGGGTTCAGCCCATGGTGGTGGCCAGGGACAGATGGTGGAGCTGTTTAGGAGGGTGACTTGTTGGGGATGAGGATGGAGGACAGGAAGCTGAACATGACTCTTGGGTTTCTGGTTTGGGCAGCTGGGTGGGTGGTGGATCCCATTAACCACAAGGCTTTGATGGCTGCACCTGATGCTCCCCACTTGGGGCGGGGGGGGGGTCTGAATCATGGTTGGCTAAGTGTGTCATGGCATCCCCAGGGTCTGCAAAGCTGACTCAGGCCGCAGACCCCGGACCGGCCCTCTTTGCAGCAATCTGACAAAGATGAGCTGAGAGACCCCGAAAGAACAAGGCAGTGGTTCAACATTAGCATTTGATATCCTGGTTCCTTTCACTTCTGTGGGCTCAGGGAACACTGGGGCAGGGGGATGAGGGAGAGATTCCAGTTTAAGGGCCGCTTTAAGCATTTCCCAGATCCTGTTGGAAGGCGGGGGGGGGTGGTCCCATTTTCTAAAAACTCCCTAAGACCACCTCCAAAGGGCGCCCAGGGGCAGCCAGCTCCCGTGTGCTGAATCTGAGAGCCGCCCCGTGTTGCTGCTCAGGCCCGGCTAAGTGGCAGAGGGCCCTCAATAAACCCTGAGACCAGAACCACACAAGCCACGTGCTTGCTAGGTCTTGAGCCCAGATGTAGAGGGGGAGCTGACTGCCTTCCTCCAGCAAGGGCAGGGCTGGACCAGGCTCACCCAAGACTCCTAAACCTGGAAGGGTGGGGTCACATGGAGCTGTGGACCACCCACCACCCAGCCTGACCTTGACTCCTTCTTTCCCCTTCTCCCCATCTTAACATCCCTCCACAGTGGCAATAGCAAAGGAAAGGACATCAACACCATTAAATCCCTCCGAGTCCTCCGGGTGCTACGACCTCTTAAAACCATCAAGCGGTTGCCAAAGCTCAAGGTGAGACTGGGGGTGTGTGGGAGGTCTGTCAGGGTTGCCCTGGACAGTTGAGCAGGTTGCACACTGCTCAAGAACACTGCGTTGAAAGGGATGCTGCTAACATCACAGCCATCCTGTCTGGATATATTTTTATTACAACTTTCCAGCAGATGGCAGTGAAGTGCATTAATCAAACAAAATCTGTATATTATGATAAATTTCCATTAGATGAAATGTCTCATGCAAAGTCGGGACCCCTTTTCCAAATTCCCAAAGTAGCATGAACCAGCATTTCCCAAGAGCTTGTCATTCAAAAAGAGAAAGGAAGGGATGGAGGGAGGGAGGAAGAAAGGAATGAAGGGAAGAAGGAAATGAAATTAGGCATCGAACACCCCCTTTTCAACTTATGACCTGAGGGACACCTGTATTATCTCACACGTCATATGTTTCTTTAAATCTAGTCACTTTATTTTTTACTTCAGTGGATTTATTTTAAATGGAAATGCTAGGTCAAGTTTCCCAAGTTGGAAAACCAGAACCCCCTGTTAATAGAAGGCAAAACTAAATATCTGTTCAAAAAAAATGAGGTAACTGTTTATAAAATCTAGCCAAAAATTGTTGCCTGACAAAGGCTTGGAGCAAGGATGCTTGCTCTTTCTTGATTAAAAAAGAAGAGTATGAATGTTAGGTGTTCACACCGTAGCAACCAAGGAAGTTTCTCCTTCACTCAAAAGGATAGAAAGGATTTGGTTTTGCTACCATGTGGTTCAGTGTTCCTTGGTGTTGGGCTCCTGTAGGACCTAAAAGTATGTCTGATCTTACTGGCAGTGTGCCTTTTCCCTTTGATTTTGGAAATAATGATACAAATTCCCCTTTTCTGTTGATGAATGTTCAAAGAGGAAATGTGTCTGTCCTTTGGACGTGAATGCTTGCCTACACTGAAGTACATGGAATCCAGCAGTGTTCAGTTCAGTGGCTCTTCCCCATTTTCTGGGTCACAGCCTCCTTTGAAAGCCCCACGAAAGCTACACACTCTCTCCCCCGGGGGAAGCCAGCAAAGCTAGCATGTAATTCCAGTGGGTTTGATGATCCTTGATGCTTACTTGGAGTTAGGATCCCCTGTGATTAAAAGCAGAATGGGGTGGGGGGCATTCCAGGCTGGGACCCCGCCTTGTCTGGGGGATGGTGGAAGGATCCCATTCTACCCAGGGCAGAATCCCCAGGGCACATGAAGTCAACTCTCAAATCCAGAGCGCCCGCAACTGACCAGTGGGCAAAAGGGGGGAGACCACACTCCAGATGGTGGGGAACAGGGAGTAACATGAGACAGGGACACAGAAGGAACAGGAAATGACCTTTCCCTCGAGGACCTTTCCTCTTGCCCTGAAGAGCCATAGTTTACCTTAGAGACACTTGGAGAAGGAGCACCATTTTCCAGGGGTGGAAATTGGGAGTTTTCAATGCGTCGAAACTCAGAATCAGGTCCAGCCCCAATTCTTACTTCTCAGAATGGTGTGGCCTTAACTGAGTGACTTGGCTCATGCCCTCGTCTGTCAAATGAGAATAATAACAATACTTTGGTATTATGGGCTGTGGCAGGTGGAGGCTGGACCGGCCCCCAGCCCCTCACGCCTTCTCTCCCTGCCACCCACCAGGCCGTGTTTGACTGCGTGGTCAACTCGCTCAAGAACGTGTTCAACATCCTCATCGTCTACATGCTGTTCATGTTCATCTTTGCCGTGGTGGCCGTGCAGCTTTTCAAGGGCAAGTTCTTCCACTGCACCGATGAGTCCAAGGAGTTTGAGAAAGACTGTCGGTGAGTTTTGACCCTCCGAGGTGTCCCCATCCAGGCTGGCGCATGGGGGCTGGCCAGAGGCCCCAGTCGCTTGGGCTTGGAAACTGAAGTGTTGGGCCTGCGGGGTGACCTGACTGCACCCAGCTTGGATCCGGACTAGAAAGGAAAACAGTTTCGGAATAAGAGTCTCTGCTCAAGGCTTCAGGATAAGCTATAAGCTGGACGCTTAACTTTTTGGCTGCCGCCTTTATCAAGTAGAGGTTATCAGTACACATCCAGGTTTCCTTATACGAAACCTTTACAGGTGAATGTTTCAAAATTCAGAATATTTTGAGATTTTAGAGTGATTGTGTGGTACATGTCCCACCTAGGCCATAACAGCCTCATTGGTTAAGGCAGCCCTGTGATCAAACGCAGTATTTCTGCTGGAAAACAGGCAACTGTTTGCACCCAGCGGGATAAATAACAAGTCCGAAGCCCAAAGAGCCCGCATCCCATTGGGTCGGGTTTTGTTGCCAAACGAATTAGATCGTAGATGGGCAAACTTCGTCTGTCAAGGGCCAGAGGATAAATATCTTTCTGTGGCAGCTACTCAGTGCTGCTGGTAAAACTCAAAAGCAGCCGCAGACAATAGAGAAAGAAACGGGCACAACCTCGTTCTGATCAAACTTTCTTGGAAGTTGGAATTCCATATCATTTTTGCCCATCGTGAATGAATTCTTTTGATTCTGTTTCCACCATTTGAACATGTAATTCTTAGCTTGTGGGCCACACAGAGGCAAGTCCAGATTTGGTCTGCAGGCCCGAACTTGCCAACTGCCAGATTAGGAAACAAGATTCAGCTTCCAGAGCTTTCTGGATTTGGGAATTGTGGGTAAGGGGTGGTGGACCGGAAGCTCCCCATCTCTGGGTCACCCTCATGACGGAAAGTTCTGAACTCAGGCCAGGAAAGTGCTGATCCTTCATTAACCAAGCGCTCAATGAACAGCGCTATTGGCACTAGTTACCCTGAAGTCCTTCTATGCAGTGAATGGCAGGCAGCCCGTTGTCGTTTTGGTGGCTGTTTCCAGGAAAGGGAAGGATCCCAGGCATTGGGCTGAACTTTCTTTCCTACCTTGAAAAGAAGCAGCAGCTGCCCCCTCCCCATTGGCCTGACGGACCCGGAAATGTGCCTTCTCCCTCTCTGCTGTTAACAACCCCTCAAGCCTGGGGCCCCCGCCCTCGGGACTAGAGGCTTCCAGGCTGGAAGAGGGTGCCAGATTCTGAGTTGGGTGCTGGATCCTGAATGGACGCAGGGCTGGGGCATCAGCCGTGGATTTGACTCCAAGTGGCTGCACACACGCTCCGGTGACATCTGGATGCTGCCATTTCCCAGGCTGAGGGAGGCAGCGTGGGCAGGTGGGACCCTCTCCCTCCTCCTCCTTCATCTCTCTGGTGGCCAGAGTTCGGTGCCCCTCGACTTCCTAACGGTCCCCATTTCCCGCGGCAGCGGCAAGTACCTCCTCTACGAGAAGAACGAGGTGAAGGCTCGGGACCGGGAGTGGAAGAAGTACGAGTTCCACTACGACAACGTGCTGTGGGCGCTGCTGACACTCTTCACCGTGTCCACCGGGGAAGGCTGGCCGCAGTAAGTGGCCCATCCGAGAGCCCCCGGGGGCAGCGCGGGGAGGAGAGGGGCTGAGAGCCCGGTGCTGAGAGCGGTCTCGGGGAGGAGGGGTCCGCTTCTGCTCCCAGAAGTGGGGACGATGCAAGAAGCACGAGGGGCCGTCACCAGAGTAGCGGCCGCCACACATAGTCATGTTCATCTGGGCGGAAATCCAGCCGTCGCTGGGCTCCCCAGCCCCCGAGTGGCCACCGGGAGCTCCCAGAACAGGCAGTGTCTCTAACTTGCAGAAAGGCTGCACGTCCACAGGCAGTCACTTCCTCTTAACCCTTCCTGTGCTGCTGAACACAAACCTCCAAGACAGGGGCGTGGACCTGGCCGTTTCCAAGCCTGTTTGTCCACAGGGTCGTTCTCTCCCAGACAGGGTCAGGGCTGAGGTGAGGCGGAATCATGCAAATCCAAAATTTAATGTTTTTCCTTTTTTTTTTTTTGCTATTCTTTTTCTGGGGGGATAATTGTTTATCTATTTATTTTAATGTAGGTCCTGAAGAATGCAGGACCTCATATATGCTAAGCTCTACCACTGAGCTATACCCTCCCCTCAAAATTTAAATTTTTCTAATTGAAGTATAGTCGATTTACAATGTTGTTAGTTTCTGGGGTACAGCATAGTGATTCAGTTATATATGTATATATATATATTCTTTTTCATGTTCTTTTTTGTGATAGGTTATTACAAGCTATTGAATAGAGGTCCCTGTGCTGTACAGTAGGACTTTGTTTATCTATTTTGTATATAGTAGTTTGGGATTAGCAGATACAAACTACTGCATACAAGATTTGAAATTTTGATAGTTTGTTCATCCTGGGCTTTTTGGCATTTCTTTTGATTTTTTAAAATATTGCAGTCAAATGCTATTTAACGATTACTGAGGGGTTTGACATCCCCTTAACGTGTGCCTGAGGCAAGGGCCCCACTCTTCTCACCCTAGTCCCAATCCTCTGCCCAGAGGTCTTGGCTGAATGCAGGTTGAAGGTTGGGTAGATTCCAGCGTGTGCCCTCAGCATCCCCACCTCCCGCCCTCACTCAGCAAACATCCCAACCCACACGTGCCTCTCTGCTCACCCTCGCACATGCTCAGTACCCACACACGAGACAGTACTAGCCCATAAGGCACCTTTGAGCAAATTTTTGAAGACACCCCTTCTTCAACAGACTTCCCTTCCATCTGTTAGAAGAGCATTGCAATCTCCTTAATGATCTTACTCAAATGAGGCACTTTATGGCCACCTGCCAAAATGTTGTCATCATTAATACAGAGATCTGTCATGTCTACAGTATGACTGGGGCCCCTTAGACACAGAGCCCTTGAGCAGTACATGACCTGTGCAACTGTACAGAGCAGCCTTGTATACATTCACTCCTATGTGTGTCCTCATTGCACCTCCTCGGCTCCCACCACCACTTGTGCTTAAATACTCCCCCCACCCAACACACCCACACACACACACATACAGCTGCTTCCATGACCCCCTACTCACTCCCATCCATCACCACAGACCTGATTTCAAATCCCAGCTTGGCCATGTCTGAGTAGTGGTCTTCAGCAAGTGACTTTAAGTTGCTTAACCTCAGTTTCCTCGTGCGCAAAATGGAACCAGTTATAACATCCCTGAGAGGGTTGATGGTTAAAGAAATAAAATGTCAAACATCATTTCTGGCACATAACAGGCCCTTGATACAGGGCGGTAGAAGTAACTGACAATGTTGTCAATACTCGCCACAGGCAAAGGAGGTGGGAAGATTACGGCTTCATAAACTACAGGGACCACAGTCAGACAATAGTGATTACACCTCATTTCTTTTTTGTTTCCTTTCAATATTTGCCTCCATTCCTGCTCCCCTGTCTCACTTTCCCCCTCTCCTCACCCTGGTCCTCACAGGGTCCTCAAGCACTCCGTCGATGCCACCTTTGAGAACCAGGGTCCCAGCCCTGGGTACCGCATGGAAATGTCCATCTTCTACGTTGTCTACTTTGTGGTGTTCCCCTTCTTCTTCGTCAATATCTTTGTGGCCTTGATCATCATCACCTTCCAGGAGCAGGGGGACAAGATGATGGAGGAATACAGCCTGGAGAAAAATGAGGTACCACTTCCCAGTTGCATCCCCATTTAAAATCTGACACCTCCCAGCACACACACACAGACACACACATGCACGCACACACACACACACAGGAACCAGCTTCTGGGACACCTGGGAAGGAAAGAGCAGCATTCTTCAAGCAGAATCCAGCCTGCAGGGTAGCCCTTCATGGGATTTCCAGAAGAAAACACATCAGAGAGAAGTTGTACGTGTCAGTCAGTTTGGACTAGGTTATGATGCAGTAACAAGCATCCTTAGCATCTCAGTGCCAGATATCGACAAAGGGATTGGACTGCATGTCCAGGTGGCTCTGCTCTGTGTCATCTTTATTCTGGTTCCCCTCTGAGACACTTCAGATAAAAAGGAGAGAACAGCAAACCACGGTCTGACTCTTGTGGTTTGTGCCCAGTGACACATGTCACTTCTGCTCACACTTCATTAGCCAGAGCTAGTCACACATCCACATCTGATGTCAGTGGGTCAAGGAAGTATAATCTCCCCCAGGAAGGGGTGGTGAATATTTATGAATGAAATCTAGTACCCCAGAGGATAGGCATGACTCTTTGCCCTTCTACAATCATCCAAGCTAGATGGAGGACCTAGAACACATTCTTCCTTCTGCTCTGTTGGCCGCTAAGACTAAATAACCATTAGTCCTCCCTGCCTCCCTCCCTCAAAGAGGAGAAGCAAAGTATCTGGTAAGAAAGAATGACAAGGCTTCACAGTCTTGAAATTTGAGTTTCGCCCCCTTGGCAGCTGTGCCACCTCAAGCAAGTGGCTTAACCTCTCTGAGCCTTTACTGTCCTCATCTGCAAAGCGGGGCTATTGATAGTACCCACTTACCATGTTTGCTCAGGGGATTCAGAGATAGTGGAGGAATGTCAGCACAAGTTTTGGCAGGTGGCAATTTCTCAAGGAGCTGTAGTTGTTGAGAGAAGAAAGCTTTCGTGGTAAGGAGTTTATGGGGGCAAGAGAGGCGGAAATTCTAGTAGTTGTGCAGCAAGCTAGCTGTGTCGAGTGAGATGGAGGTGCTCGGTGTCCAGCCGCCTCCCTCCTGCCTCTGGCCCTCACGCCATTGGGCTCTCTCCTGCAGAGGGCCTGCATCGACTTCGCCATCAGCGCCAAACCACTGACCCGACACATGCCCCAGAATAAGCAGAGTTTCCAGTACCGCATGTGGCAGTTCGTGGTGTCCCCGCCTTTCGAGTACACCATCATGGCCATGATCGCCCTCAACACCATCGTTCTCATGATGAAGGTGAGCCCTCCCTCCCACCACACCCGCCCTCCCCTGGCAAAATGGAACCAGCTACACGAGTCTCCCAGACAGACCACACACTCTTGCTCCACCTAGTCCCTCTGCCTGGCACACGGCTCCACCGCTCTGCCTGGCCAGCCCCTTCCAGCTGCACCTGCAGAGCTCTTCCTCCAAGAAGCCTTCCCTGACCTCTCCAGACACATTAGGTCTTGGCAAGCATCCTATGTTATCTCCTATGTCATAATATCAGCGTCGGATTGCTTGACAGTCTGTCACACCTCGTTGAGCTCCGAGGGGCCAGATAAGACATGGGCACCCCTGAATTCCTGGGGTTCAGAGAGGCCCTGGCTCAGAGGGAACAAGAGGCCCTCGATAAATGTTTGATGAATAAAATGAGGAGAAAAGGGCAGGTAAGGACCTTGTGAGCCTTGGGGCCATGGAACCTCTCCAGGGTGAAAAGTCAGAACTTTTCACCATGTGGTTTGGAGACCAAAGGCCTGAATTCAAACCCAGCTCTGCCGCTTAACTCACCGGTTAACCTTGCACAAGTGACCAGTGACTTCTCAGGGCCTCAGTTTCCCTGTCAGTGAAATGGAAATGATAATAATAGCTCCTTCCTTGCCCCGGATGCGGATGAGGATTCAATGAGAAAGTTCCTGCGAAGACATGAGCGCATTTCTCAGCACTTAAAAACGCTCAGCAAATTTAGCTGTTGATTTTTATGAGTTGGCAAAAAAAGCAGTGCCTATATTCACCTGAAAACTCATCTCCATAAGCAAGTTCTTCTGTCTTTTCATTGTGATGGTGATGAACTGTTTCTAACAAGCAGAAGAGAGAGGGCGGTATGGCAGAGCACCCCTCAGACTGCTCAGGGGGCATCTGGGCTTCTTGTTAAAATGCAGCTTCTAGTTCAGCGGGTCTGAGTGGGCCTGGGACTCTGCATTTCTAACCAGCAAATTAAAAAAATAATAATGTAAGTAAAGGAGTTTTTGTTTTGATGTGAAAAGATTAGCCCAATAGCTAATAATAAAACAGATAGTGTATAATGAAAAAGAATATGTGTGTATATATATATATATATGTGTGTAACTGAATCACTATACTGTACACCAGAAATTAACACATTGTAGACCGACTAGACTTCAATTATAAATAAATAAATAAATAAATAAATAAATAAATAAATAAATAGCCCAGCCCATGAAGAGCTTGCCATGTGCCTAGGTAAGCTTCACACGACATCAACAGGGAAGCCAAGGGTCACGGGTCAGCCATGAAGCCACCTCCCTGGCCCCCATCACCGTGCCCACTGACCCCACCTCTCTTCCTCTTTTCTCCTCTAGTTCTATGGAGCCTCGATTGCTTATGAAAACGCCCTGAGGGTATTCAACATCGTCTTCACTTCCCTCTTCTCTCTGGAATGTCTGCTTAAAGTCATGGCTTTTGGGATTCTGGTAAGTACTGCCTTGGGGCTAGAGCCACGGGTTAAGGAGCCCGATGGGGCACTGGGTGCTGGGTGGTAGTCTCCCGACCTGGCCCCCTGCCCCCAGCAAGCATCCCTCCAGTGCCTCCAGACTCTCCGTAGGTGTTCCCGTTCTTGCCAAGTAATGCAGACTGTGGGTCCTGCACACATTTATTCAGACATTCCTCGAAATGTTGGGATGGGAGGCAATAATTATTCATTTCAGAGATAAGGAAACTGAGATCCACACAAGCCAAGTCCATGGCATTCAAACCGTCCTAGCCACGATCCACAGTGAGAAACACATTTTGCCGTGGAGCCCAGCACACAGACATACAGATAGACCAGATGAAATTTTCACAGAATCCGTATCTACCTTTAGTGTGTGCCCTGTATTCTGAAGTTGTCTGTCTCCTTAATTCCATGTCCCCTTTTGCTTTAGTGCAGTTCCTGACCCTGTCTAACTTGATTTCATCTCCCACTAATGCGAGTGGTCTTAACCCGAGGTCTCTTGACCCCTGAAGGGATCTGTGGATGGTGGGGGAGGGGGCCCATGGAATGAGATTTGAAAAAATTACTTCTTTGTTTTTACCAGCTGCTCACCAAATTTTAGCTTTTCCTTCCATCTTGAAGGTAGATGACAAGCCCCTGCAGGATTACCCGTGTGATCTGTGTCTCTGTTAAAATGAGACGTTCTCAGGAGGCATCACAGGGGTTGCAGGTACAGTAGGCCCTGTTTATCTGCAGGTTCTGCACCCGCAGAGTCAACCGATTTAATTGGCGGCTGGTCGAATCTGCAGGTGCAGAACCCGCAGATATGGAGGACTGAGTGTAAAGCACTTGAGTGTCTGCTTGGCCCACCTCGCTGAAGAGAATGACCTGCAGCCCGTGGTGTCAGCAGACAGAGGCTGAATTCTCACCCTGGCTTCCCAAGGTGGTCAAAGGTGTCGGCTTTGGCACCAGAGAGACCTCGATTCAACTCATGTCCAAGCTGTATCACCTCACCTCTCTCCCCTCCATTGCAAGAAAGGGCCAACTTCTCCTCTCTCCTAGAAGTGCTCTTGCAAACCCCAAACACAAATAATCTGTGTCTGGAGACTGAGGGTGAATCCCGGCATGTTGTGAGCACTCAATAAATGCCAGGAAGGGTTACAGTTCATCGCCTACCTTTTTCCTCCAAAGCCATGGCTCCCAGCCCTGCTGCCCACCAGAAGCACTGGGGAGATCTCTTAAAGTCAAACGATGCCCTTCCCTAGACCCACCTCAAGAGGTTCTGCTTCACTGGGTTGGATGGGGGCCCCTCAATCTGAATTTTTTAATGAGGACACCCAGGGAAGCCCAAATCACAGCCCAGGCAGGCCATTGGGCTCTGCACGGAGAACCATCCAGGCAGAGAGAGGCACCCTGCAGTCAGGGCAGTTGCACCAACTCAGAGTCAGTTCCAGCCCTGGGGATGCCACCTGTGGGCTGTATGACCCAGAGCAGATCATAGAACATATACAGAGAAGAACACAGGCTCTGGAGCACCCACCCCTGGGTGCAGTCCTGCCTCAGCCCCTTTTGAGCTATGAGATCACAAACATGGCCTCTTTGCTCCCATGTCTAAATCTACAAAATAAGATTACCAGGCCCCCAGGCTCCCGGCGCTAAGGGGAGCGTGCGCATGGGCCCAGGCACAAGCTCTGCACAGTACAGCTGTGTCACACGATTTTTTTTCGTTCCCAGTCAGTCTTCTCGTGGTGAAGTGATTCATCTTACTGGGAGAGGATTCCACCTCCTCCACCCCTGACCATCACACAGAGGTCTGCACTGAGCCTCCCCCTTCAGTTGTAGGCGAAACCCCAAGTTTCCCACGTAGAATTTAAATGATAGAGGGGAAACTTCTAGTCCAGGGGCTTGAGGCCTGTGGCCAGACACCTAGAAAGCTGTCTTCATTTGTGCCCCCCAGAAGCAGAGCCTGAGACAAGGATTGAATGCAAGGGATTAATCTGGGAGGTGACCCTGGGAAGCACCATATGAGAGTGGGGAGTGAAACAGGGAAGGGAAGGCAGCCGGTACAGGGTGTGTTCTTGAGCAGGTCCCTAGTGTGGGCAACTGGGGTGCCGTTCAGTGGAGGACCTCTGGGAGGCAGCAGAGAGTACATACCTTACATACTTCAGTCATCTCACCCATGGTGGGGGAGCTGGGCTATTTATCCTCCAGTGCCCATCAGCCACAGTCAAGGGCTGCTCCAAGACAAGCTGTTAATTCCCCACCAAATATGCAACTAGAGAAAACCCCTGGGCAGAGAAACAAAGGTGCACAGTCAAAAAATTAGCGGATATGGGTAGGGCCCCAGTAGCACCTACTAAAATACCAAAAAGTGCCAGTGGAACCTGAATTCCCTTAGACAGTTGTACGACAACGTCCATCTAGTAAGCACCTATTATCTGCCAAACCTCACGCTCAGTGACTCACGTTCATTATCTGATTGTTATGTCCTTATCTTCCAGAAGAGGGCCCTGAGGCCCAAGCAGTCCAACTCCAAGTGTGTATTTGATTCATATATGCTAAAAGAATTTGATCCTGAGAAGCACAGCTCCAAAGCCCGGGTCCTTCTCTGTGAGGCAGAGGGGCTGCTGCATTGTCAGATGCTCAGGGGAAAGCTGACCACTCAGAATGGGGCCCAAGCGCCGACGCGGCCCCCTGCTTTCGTGAGGATGCTGGGAAGGCCTGTGTTTAGCATGGGTCCCACTGAGCCTTGAGGGGAGGGCCACCTATTTGAGCTAGACCCTTAGATCTAGGCAAGGGTGCTACTCATTGTGGACTCAAACAGTGTAAAATATTTCAGTATTTTAACAACAGCATGCTATACCTGTGTGTCTTAGTTGAGCCAGAACCCAGCCCAGGAAGGTACTAGGGAGGATAGATCAAGTTAAGCTGCAGTAACAAACAGCCCCCACATCTCAGTTGCTCTAATCAATGAAGGTTTTGTTGACACTCAGCAGGGGGTGCTGTTCACCTCTAGTTACTCAGGGAACTAGGCTCATGGAGCAGCCACCATCTGGAACATTGCTGGTCACCAGGCCCAAAGTTAAGAGAGTTCTAGCGAGTCTTGCGCTGGCCAGGAAGTGACCCACACTGCCTCTGTTCACAACCCATTGGCTGTAACTAGAAACACAGCCTCATCTAACCACAAGGGAGCCAGAAAGTACAGCCTGGTGTGTGCCCAGAAGGCCTCTTACTCTGTTACTGACCCCTTTGTCCAGATTAGGAAATGGAAGCACAGAGAGGTTAAGTCATTGACCCCTGGCCACACAGCTGGACAGTAGTAGAGCTGCGATGAGAACCCAGGGGCTGATCTCTTAACAAGTCCTGAGTCAGTGGGGTCCTGTGCACAGACTCTGGACTTGCCCAGACCGGGGTTCAAATCCTGACTCTTCACCTCTGTGCTGCCTGAGGTGAGCAGCTTTGCTCTCCGAGCTCCAGTCGCCTCGTATAAAACCGATGATAAACTTTCCCTCTGAAGGTCTTTGAGAGGATCCTGATGACGTCATTTATGCAGCATCTCAGGTCTCAGGGAGCCCTGGAAGCTGCTGGAGAAACGGCACAGCCCAGAAGGGCAGCCCTCCCCCCTGCCCCAGGTGGAGCTGAAGCAGCACCTGGAGTCCCTCCCTTCGGGCCAAGCAAGCTGTGGGAAGGCTGGGGGTCCCAGGGAGGGGGCACTCAGAGCAGATGACACTGAGCACCCCGGTCAGCAGCGTTTTGCTATTTGAATGACTATTAACTGTCCCAGGCACTGGGACTGGTCCACAGCTGTGCCCCTAGCGGGCCTCCTGGGCTGGACGATGGGCGCCAGCCTTGGAGCCCTGCCTTGGCATCTCTGTCTTGTGGGTCCCCATTCTAGAACTATTTCCGTGATGCCTGGAACATCTTCGACTTTGTGACTGTTCTGGGCAGCATCACCGACATCCTGGTGACCGAGTTTGGGGTAAGTTTCCCGCCGGCTTCTCTCTGGGCAATTCCTGGCTGGGCTGGGAGGGGCGAGGAGGAGGTCATTGGGAAGTCATGGCTGGCTCAAGCCAGCACTTGACCTTGACCAAAGAGGGAGAAGTGGGGACCCCAGAGGGCAAGGGCAGCCCCTCAAGAGGGTGATGCTGGGACATGGGGGTCAGCTCTGCAGCGTGAACTTCCTTGCATCTTGGCTATTGACTCATGAGTAAATAATGTGGATAAGCTCATTGAGAGAACTGAGACTCTTAGAGGATCCCAAGGCTGAGCCCCGCCCCCAAACACCACCCATTGTTGGGGGCCCAGAGGGAACCAGCTTCAAGCCCATCCTGCTTGAACTAACCATCTTCCAGCTCATGGGCAGGAGGGAGCCATGGCCTTCAGGGTAACAGGGGACACCATTCCCAGGGCTTCAGGAGGATTTCTGGGACATCCGTCTTCCTCTACCCCAGGCCTGGGACATTCCCAACGTGGGGGTCTCCGGACCTCACTGTGATGGCCCCCATAGGCCGCATGGTCCTTCCTTCTCCTCTGGAAGACTCAGGGACCCAGAGCTCCTGTCCCAGACGCCCTCCTCGGCCATTTGCCAGTGAGCCCAGGCTTGACGGCCCCTTGAGGGCTTGAGGGAGGCTGGGGGAGGGTAGGAGAGCCTCACAGGGAAAGTAAAAGGGCAAAGAGTATCAGAGTCGAGGGCCAGGGGTGGTATCAACCTTATCATAATAACAATAAAAATAATAATAGCTGACAAGGACAGTGCACTCGCTGCATCCCAGGCACTGTGCCAAGCGTTTTACGTGGATTAGCTCATGGTACAGGTCAGGGGCTTAGGATGCAAAAGAATTCCTTCAGAGGGTTCAACTGAAGGGATCCAAAACACAGATCACTCACAGAAGGGAGGGGAAGGCACTTAGCTCCCAGCCACCGTGGGGAGCTGTTACCTGTCCAGGTGCTGAAGTGGGGCAGTCCTGAGCTAGAGTCAGAGAGGGGCCACCCGGTAGGAGCTGTGGCCATGGAGGGACAGAACTCCTGGCAGAGACAGGGCCAAAGCCGGCACAGAGCATCTGGAGAGAAATACCCCAACCTTTCTCTCCTCCCACCACCCCGCCTCTGCCTCCTTCCAGCGACTCCCATTGGCTAAGCCCAGCCAGCAAGGAGCCAGAAGGCCAAAGAGCCAGGGTGATGTGCAGGACAGGCAGAGAAGAGCAGAGAGTAGATCTAGAAGGGGTGGGGCCCGAGGAAGAGGGTGTTATCCCATTTCACAGATGAGGAGACTGATGCTCAATGCTGAAGAAAATGAGGGACCTGGTCATGCAGCCAGACCTGGTGACTCCTTAGGGCATATTAGTGTTCCCTGGGGTGTCCCTAACTTAAGCTTCCAGCAGAAAAGGATCAACTGATCAATTCTTCTATCCTGGAAGCCTGGTAGGACAGGACCGGGGAGCTACACAGAAGAGGGAGCCATTCTCTGATGCATCCCCTCACACCCTCACTCAGGTGGTATCCTGGTACTATTCTTTGCCTTTAGCTCCAGTAGACCAGAAGTCCTCCCCTTCCCCCACCTCACCCCGACACCTTCCCCAAGAGAGGTCATGGCCAGCTGGGGGCTGTTGCCATTGGGGGACCCCTACCTGGCCACTGTCTCCTGACAGTGGATCAGAGCTTAGACCTCACCTTTGGTGCCAGGTTTCTAAGAGGTCTGGCGCTCCTACTGGCAGTCAAAATATCTTGCCATCCAGCTGAAGACAAGACAGCCTTGAACTAGTGTCCCTCCAGGTCAAGAGGTTGGAAGCAATGGTGACCCACCACCCCAGTAGAGCAGGTGGAGGAAGTTGACTGAAGCTCTGGTTACTAGCAAGAGATCTGTAGGACTGGACCCCAAAGGCTTGTTCTTCTGGCTGCAAGATATGGGAGGGCAGGAGAATGGGGCACGGGGTCCAATTCAGGGACATCAGGACGATTGCAGTAGTCAAACAGCCCTCCCTACGAGCAGTCTGACTGGGTAATTCGTGTTACCTCTTCTTGTCCTGTATTTGGGACTAACCTTCATAACAAATCTCATCATATTCTTGGAAACCTCACATTCATTCATGCATTCATAGAAGTATGCATTAAGCACCTGCTGTGTGTCAGGCATTGTGAGAGGTGCTGGAGACAGAGCAAAACAGACAAGAATGCCTCTCTAGGGAGAGAGATGGCAACTTTGAACAAGTCAGAGCGATTGACGTGAAGTGCTTGGCACAGAACCTGCCAGGAGTTAGAGAGTTCATAGAAAGTGATGATTATTATTACTGCTGTGAATGTACTTAGGGCTGCAATTTGTCAGGCAGCCCCCCGGCCCTAAATTATAATCATTTGGAGGGAAAAATGGAGGGCGGGTGTCTGGACCCTTTTAAGATGATGAACTTCCAACCTGGGGTTGGGGGAGGCCTCCCCTCACGGGCAGGGAGCCCACAACAGCCCCTTTCTGCTCTGAGGCCAGAGCTCAGCCAGGCTGAGGCAGGGGGATCCAGACCCTTGGGAGGGCAAGTCCCCAGGGTTTTGGGGAGGAGACGGCATGAGGCCCACCGGGCCTCAGCTACCGCCCCAAGTGGCCTGGGTGACGGGGTTTGCCCTGCGTGCGATGGATAATGACTGTGTTTCTTGTCTTGTCTCTTTCCATGCCTGCTCTTTAAACTGTATATTGGCACAACGCCGTCTGAAAAACTCATCCAATCAAAATGCACTATGAAATTCATTTGTTCATCCATGACGTGGTCTGTGTGTTCATACACCAATGACTATCTCCCAACCCACCACCACCACCCCCACTCCCCACCCGGGAA